AAACCCCAAGCAGTATAAATATAGGATGTCCCCAAAACTGCTGGTAGCTCTATTTTGAAAATGAAATGTATTTTAATAAACACTGCCTTTATCATTATTCAAAGTGTGCATATACATTTTCTGGGACACTTTATATTAATAGACATAGACGTAGGTAGAGGTAACAAAGATGAGTATGTTATAAATAGCAAATTGGAGAGGACAGTAACACTGCAGAAAAATAACAGAATAGTGAAATTCATAACAAGCTTCACAGACATTTGGTTACAGTGTGAAATGTTTCCACCTGGCTATAAAGCAAGTCATGTTCCTGGGCTGAAAAAACTGTGAGGAGGCTAGTCGCTAGGGAGAGGAAGCCGGGCATTGCTACGTGACGTCATTACCTGGATGGTCGGACACTTAGCATATTAGCCTTTTATATATATAGATTATATGTGTGTGTGTGTGTGTGTGTGTGTGTGTGTGTGTGTGTGTGTATATTTTTTAATCCTCACCCAAGGATGTGTTTTTTTTTTAATTTGTTACAGTTGACAGTATTACAGACATCTCCCATTTCCCCCCTTAACACCCCTCTGTACAGCCCCTACTCCCTCTGTCCACCCTATTGTCCATGTCCATGGGCTATACATATAAATATATAAGTTCTTCGGTTTCTCTCTCCTTGTCCCCTGCCCCCCACATCTAAGTATGTCAATCTGTTCTATGCCTTCATGCTTTGGGTCTTATTTTGTTGGTCAGTCAATTTTGTTCATTAGATTGCACAAATAAGTGAGATCATGTGATATTTGTCCCCCTCCACCCAGTTCCCACCCCACCCCATGACTTCACCATCATACTGTCTGTGTCCATAGGTAAGATCTCTGGTTAATCTCTTCCAGCCTCCCCTCCCCCCTTCCCTCTGAGATTCATCAGTCTGTTCCATGCTTCCATGCTTCTGATTCTATTTTATTCACCAGTTTACTTTGGTCATTAGATTTCTTATTTATTTTGATTTTTAGATTCAATTGTTGATAGATATGTATTTGTTGCAATTTCAGTGCTCATATTTTTTCCTTCTTCTTCCTCTTCTTAAAGAATACCCTTCACCCGGGGTGGGAATAGCTGGGAGGGGGGGTCAATTGGGGGAAAAGGAGACATATGTAAAACTTTAGACAATTAAAAAAAATGTACCAGATGTTCAACTTTAAAAAAAATATGAGAAAAAAAAGAATAGCCTTCAACATTTCATGTAATACTTGGTTTGGTGGTGATGAACCCATTTAGCTTTTTCTTGTTTATAAAGCTCTTGATCTGACCTTCAATTCTAAATGAGAGCTTTGCTGGGTAGAGTAATCTTGGTTGTAGGTCCTTGCTGTTCATCACTTTGAATATTTCTT